ATCATTTTAATGAAGCTTGCAGAAAATCGTATACATATAGTCAAAGCTCACGTTCAACAAATCAAAGATTTGGTGTTGAAAAACCGACGATTAACAATTAGAAGCCTTGGTTATGAAGTTGGCATGTCGAAAGGCCCAGCCAATACCATTTTGAAGGATGAGGAAGAAGGGCTTCAATCGCGTAAAATCTCGGCCGGTACCGAAAACAYTGAATTTTTTGGAAAAAAGGCGTCGCGTTGAAGTGTGTGAAACAATGCTTTCCGACTACCAGGGTGTCATGAAACGCATTATAACTGGCAATGAGACTTGGATCTATGCTTACGACCCCGAAACAACCGATAATTTTCTTCGATTATCGTGGTGTTGTGCATTATGAATTCCTTCCAACCGGTCAAACAGTCAACAAGGAATATTATTTGAACGTTATGCGTCGTTTGCGTAACGCTATCCGAATAAAAAGGCCGGAATTGTGGAAAGACAATTCTTGGGTTTTACACCACGATAATGCACCATCCCATACTGCCCTCGTAATTCGTGATCATTTCGCCAAAAACTCAACCCACATCGTTCCACAACCACGGTGTTCACCTGATCTGCCGTCGTGCGACTTCTGGCTGCTCAAAACGCTCAAAAAGCCGCTCCGGGGAGACCGTTTTTATACGATAGAGGAGATTCAAGCCGCAGCGAAGACGAAACTGAAGACCATCCCGGAAAGTGACTACAACCAGTGTTTCGAAGATTGGAAAATCCGTTGGCATAAGTGCATTSCATCAGGAGGGGATTACTTTGAAGGGGATGAAATTGATTTGAAAGAATAAATAAAGAATTTTCAAAATAAATACAATGTAAAGCAAAATAGGGAGCCTTATGCCATTTTTTGATTATATTCTTGTGTCGACTGATACTTGGTATTTAATCTTAAATTCAATTTTAGCACTAAATTTCAGTAGTTAAGTTAATACATTTCTATAAAGTGTTTTATTCCATGTTCTTATTTGTCAGAAAAATTACAGCGGCATYAAAATACCAACTAGTAGCAACTAAAACCTTAACAAGCAGAAAAAATATCCAAGTATGTTGTTGGAAAAGAAACTTTTGTCGAGGAGCAGCAACACGCAAAACAATGACAAATTGACAATAATCGCCTCGCGACGCGTTGAAATAACAATTTCTTGTGAATTATTTACATATGAAACGGCAAATATGAAGATTGTCAACTAAAAAAACGAAGTTAAAGCATAATGAGCAGTTAAGTTAAGCACAGAACACATGCAATAAATATGAGCTCAATTTAGGAAAAACGAGCGGCAGTTCTGAGAGACGGTGATGGCAAAGGGCAATGAATATGCAAATGATTTCGTCGCGAAGCGGTGAACGATCTGGCAACCAGAGCGGACGGGCGAGCGTGGAAATGGGTGAATCAAAATTATGTTGTTAATCAAAGCTAATAAGCATATTTGCATGTTTTAACATACTTACTAAGTTTTCTGCTTTTGTTTTCTCTGAGTTGTCCTTTGCTCTTAGAGGCATTTATGAAAAACATAAATGCGTCTSCGGCACTTAAGACACGTAGTTAAGCGTGTAGGCATATGATATTACATACATATATAATTTATATGTATCTTTATGAAAGTTTGTGGGTGAATATGAAGGCAATTGGAAGCACGTGTACAGCTAAAGCTCAAGGATATCTTCATAAGAATATTTCAGATTCATGATGTCTACTTTTTCTTGTTTCTTACTCTCGCTGTAATAGCTTAAGCGATTTTAGCCAAACTAAAGCTGGTTTCAGATTTTATTTCGCTGCTTGGCGCCAGTTTTAGTAGCAATTGAACTCTTTATGCTAGCAGAAAGGAAGACAGATTGAGCGATAGAGAGATGTTTCACTTATTCACAGAACGAGGTATTTATGAATCAATAGCGTTATAGTAGAGGAGTGTTAGATTATTTCGGCTTTATATGAAACCTCAATAAGGGGTAAGTAACACTTTTTGCTTCCTTTTATTTGCTAGTTCATAGTTTGCTTCTATAACTTTTGATTAATATAWTATATTAATATTTTTTGCACCGAACTTTACATATAATATATGGCTACATATCTATACTATAATATATTAAGAAGACAAGTTCGCGGGAAGTTGGAACATAATAAAAACTTTTTCTGGCCAAAATAGATATCGTGTCTAAACATTAGTCCCCTCAATGGCAGGTAAGCATGAGATTTGAGTTCGAGTCTCATTTCTTTTAGATTATTATAGAAATGGTCAATTGAAAAAAAAATATATTCCAACAAGGGATTATAAGATCTCATTCATTATATTAAAGTAAACTCAGATAGTGTTTAAACCRTCACTAAGATGACGCGATCTTCGATATATCGTAATTTCCTCAATATSCTCATTTTTAAAGCTTATGAAGTATACAAGACTTCAGAATAATAAATCACTTTCATTAGACAATATTTTTCTTTCCTTTCTAAGTTAGTGCTTATACTAAACCGAAGCTTAACAGAGGGTGAACTTATGGCCGATGAGGGCTGACATATTCTGTGAAAATATATACGTCTCACAATGAAGGATGTAGAAAATTTAAGAAAAAAAAAAAAAGACAAAAGTAGGTAGCTTCAATTTTTTTCCGCTGACTTAATGATATTTACTTATATGTAGGCACTTTAATTGCTCCAAAATTATTTATTAAAGTTAAAATACAAGAATATTTGTCCTAACAAAATTGAAGTCAGTTGAGCAATATGACGCTTTGGGTCACCTATTTCGACAAACAAAAGCTGATAAGCCCAGACMAGACAACAAAAAACTATGGAGTTCATGTCCACATTAAGCCAGTCATTATTTACCAAAAAACAAAAAAAAATCTCATCTTTTTCTACAACTCACACTAGCATGAACACTCACCTTTACTCGCCGGCGGTTTTCGTGTAGCCCAATTCGTTCGAATCGAACGCGAGCCCAGCCATTGTCCATTCATTGCTGTAATGGCGCTTTCGGCTTCCTGTTGAGCAGCACAGTCAGCATAATGAAAGAGAGATGCAAAAATGGATATTATTAGAATTGGCTTATYGTATGTATATATGTATGTACGTATGTAGCAATATAGGTATGTATTATAACGGGTGAGGCGGTCTTATTGGTGTGCCATGCTTTTTAATTAAGATGAAAGAGTTGTCAAAAGTTTTCGGGTTAAATTAAAATCTAATGAATTGAAGTCAACAATAAGTTTCCAGCAGTTATGAAATGAAAAAGCCGACTCACCGATTTTTTGACAAATGACACAAATCCATAACCCTTAGATTTCAATGTTTGTGGATCGCGTACGACGCGGCAATCACTGCAAGCAAAGAAATGGCATTTAAAATGTGTGTTAGTATGTGTGAATATAATGTGCTGTAGTATATATTTATTAATGCTGTTTTTATATACTACTCTCAARCAGAGAGCGGAGGGAAATTAGGGTTTGTGAATGGGTGGCAATTTAATTAAAATGAATTAATCTTACAGCATCGTAGTCATTGCTTAAGAGAAAGCTATGCTTCAACAAATWTTTATATTACATATTCTGTATATAAGTATATATCTAAGTGGAATCAATAAAGCTAATTTTTATGTTATATATATATAATGATATTAGAATTTACATACTAGCTTGAGCCCTGTCTCTTATACACATCTAGATGTGTATAAGAGACAGAGCCAGTAATGTCGGGTGGCAGGGAATCAGTATGTTAAATATTTTTACTGCCTTTAGCAGATTTCAGATAATATTATAGATTGGAAGATATGAGGAAAGACATTTTTTAGTGCAAGCACAGGTTAGATTTTGATAAAGGTGAGCTTCACGGTAGTCTTCATTCYTAAAACTATATACTGCCTAATGAAMTCTAATGACATCCAACTTTTTTTTTTCCTTACAATAAGAATGTTGTATTCAGGTTTTTAATACAAATAAAAACCTGGAAAATTTTTGAGGGTAATCTTAAACTTGATCCGGAACGGCATATCCTAAGCACAGATTTTAGTCCAATTAGCACTTAGAGATGAATTTTTAACATCTCGATCGGAAATTTCGCAGATGTTTTTTTCTTCTTACGGACTACTCATTTGTCGGAAACGCCGATATCGTATCAGTATAGCATAAAATTGTCACACAAACTGATCCACTAAATTCAAGTTATCAGAYAGTTTGGCATGCCCACTTCAAGGCTGCAATCTCCAAAGAAAATGCTCAGGTCGGAGCAATATACATAACTGCAATAAAAACTGCTCAAAGCCTAACGAATAGACAAACCATTTTCCGTAGGTCCAAAACGTTGGTCAGTTATGTTTTCAGTTGTATTTAGTTGTACATCGAGATACTAAAAGAAAGGTTTCAAGTCGAAATTAACAGACWTTTTGGTTTTTGAAATAAAAGATTAGGCGATTTCAAAAGGGTCTTACAGACCGTGTCTTTTGTGYTTTACCACCTAAAAATAACCACGCCTTTTATTCATAGCTCCACAGAGCTTTAAATTTTTCATAAAAGTTATGCAAAGTTCAACGAAAGTTAATATCTGTAGTATTTATCTATCCATATTGACAGAAGGGAAGTGTTYACTGTTCTGTAGCGCCAAAGGTGCGAGCTAAATACATTTCGTGGCCTACTTTATGGCATTCGGAGGCACTCACGTGGGTGCTAACAAGTCACACAAAACTTGAAACCAAAGCTGAAAGCGATGACATATGCTACCGTATATAATATATACGTACATACATATATGTATATATAATTCTACCAAGGAAAATCCTCATTAAATAAAGTTGTCAAAGTACATTAAAATAATTTAAGCGCTTTAGTGATGTAAAATGCGGTGCTAGGGGAACAAGACAAATAGAAACTCTGCGAACATAAATTTCACAATTTCCATATCGGTTTCGCTGCCTACTTTGTGGCTTTTATTTATTTTTGCTAATTTATTTAACTTTTCATTTCAAATTTGTTTTATTTTTTATTGTTTGTCTCAGTTTTAACAATTATTAATTCTAATTTCGTTACTTCTTGCAACTTTTTCATTGCAATCCGATAGGCTTGGCGGTGACAAATTGTGAATTTATTCTCGCTTTCCAGTTGTTTGTTAGAAAAATAACATCTTAACGATAAAAAAGCATTTTCTCGYTTTTGCAGATTTTCAAGAAAAACCCGCAGAGCTTTAATGGCGAAAGTATTGAAATATTGCCTTGCACAGAGCTACAATAATGGTTGTAATATGAACGGTAAATTTGAAGAGCGGAAAGTTAAATACAACCCAGAAAAAAATATATTATACAGTTCTTTTTCAGTGTGATGCATGCTGAATTTGGCTGTAGTCAACTCGGCTGAATGCTACCCTCCAGCAATAACTTTTATTGAGACTTTTATCAGAGCTAATAGTTGTACATTTTTAAAATGTAAAAATATTTCTAATTTTACGGAATACTTTAGAAAGTACGAATTTGGATAATGCAAAGCTAAAAATTGCTTAAAATCGAGAAAATTTATTTCAAATATACACTTTCTAGTCCCTTCTCGCAMCAAACCAGTGACAATGTATAAGAGCTTCAAAAAAATCTGAAGCTTAATGTGTGATATATCCATTATCTATGAAAATTATCTCATTTATTAGTGAAAATGCGAGTTGATAGCTTTGATAATTTTACCGACGCTCTTTCACGACCTAATTTGATTTCGAATTTTATGATCATTTTAAACTATGGCTTTTCATTGCAGGAAGAGTAATCTTCTCCCTTAAATTTTTTACAGAGTTGAAGCATTTTCTGTGTTCTCGAAAACGGCCGCTTAAGAAAATACTAATAATATTCCTAATACATCATTATTTATGAACAAGAAAAATATACCTAAATTCAAGCTATTTTCTTTTTTAAATGAGTTTCAKCAACCCAAAATTAAAATTTAAAGTTTAATAAAAAAGGTAATACTGAAGTATTTTTCCCAGCATTATGTCCCTCTCCTCCTTTTCAACTTCTTACCTTCCTTAGTTCCGTATATCCAGCTCTTTTCACAAAAGCTCACTTATGAAAAAATATGTTCTTTTCACTTAATCTCTTATTTACTTTCCCACACAATCCATTTTTTGCCAACCAAAGTATACACACACATCATTTACATTCATACGCTTGTTGCGAAATCGCTGCAAATGTCAACCAGCCGTCTCCAGCCTTAAGGCAAACACTTCACACGGTGTCACTTTCGCGTCTTCCTTTTAGGCCGCCAAGCCAACAACTATGTATAAACAGTTAAGTACCGAAGTAATAGCAAGTAGTTGAGGATTTTTAGGCGCACCGTTATAGCTGCCGCTAGTCATATGGATTTTCGAGCTAAGCTTGTGTTTGGCGACGTGTCGCACTTACTCAGTACCGACTGACAGCAGCACTACTAACTATTCTTCTCGGCGAAAGCAAGGTGTCGCCGATGTTAACCACTTTATTTGCTTTCGTCATCCACATAGTGTTGCTGTTGCTGAAGAAGATCGCTTTCAGTCTGCTGTTGACAGGCAAATCCGCGTTAAATATTCGACAAATAAACGCAAGTCAAGCGTTTGCCGGGTTGGCACTCACASTAGCCAGATTTACTAGTGTATATAAATATTTATGCCTGACATGTTTATGTGTATGTTGTTAGAAATCCTCTTACTGGAAATGGTAAATGCCATATGTTTAACTTAATATTTAAGTTATACGGATTATCTGAATTTTTAGCTACATTTG